GGAAACAATAGGGGTTCCTGCGAGAGCCTCATACTTTCTGAGGGGCGGTCAATTGGAAAGGATAGGACTGCTTCCGGGCTTCGTTGTAGTAGGGCGAAAGCTTCCAAAGCTCTCATGAGGTGAGATTGCAACCTCTTTGTGTGAAGCAAATTTTCCTCAGATAGCATCTTTCTTACGCTGGCTTCTTGCCCAGGAGCCAGGTTGCCCCGGAGGAATCTACACCAAGACTGCTTGAGGTAATTCACGGTGAACCCAAACTGGCTTGACACCATGTAGATGCCGGAGTTTTGAAGCTCAGAGAAGTTGACGACGTTCACCTTGGCGCCGTCATGGTATGCAAAATTGCCTCGGTGAGTGGTCCGACAATCCCGGGTGTGACACACCTTGCGGTAGGAAAGGATGATCTCGACACTCTCACTTCCAAGAATGGTGCATTGGATGGGCTTCTCATCGGTGCGTAGTTGCAGAGGACATTTGCAAATTGTGCACTTGGTTCTTGGAGAATGGTATACTTTCATGTCGGCAGACTCCTTCTTCACGCTCGGCCTCTTCCGTGCGGAACCGTGCTTGGAGCTAGGTCTCTTCATCTGAGATGCTTGGTTTTTAAGCTTCTTTTACAATCCCCCGTGATTGACCAGAAGGCTGCGAATGGAGCCGTGCAAGAAGCAGACTGTTGATATCATTCTCAAAGACATGCGTTTGTGTACTTGTTGATGCTTTGAGACTGTTAACGTTAAAGAAGACAAATGCAAAATGATGCACAGCAAACACCTTTTTTCATCTTTTTTCATTGTTTTGCTTTGCTTTGATCTGCGCCTTCCAGTCCACTGCCCCACAGTGGCCCGCGGATTCCGCAGTCACCCTGCTACAGACCGATTTACGGACCTGACCGCCTATAGAGGGAAAAGTCCGCAATGATTTTCCTATAGCAGATAGTTCATCCTTCCTGGTAGGTGGCGAAGCCGTGGTTGAAGGGATCTTCGTCTTCATGCGCGCATTCTGGGTTGGCGTCATGCTTTGGTGCTCGGGTTTCTTCCTCGCTATCCGGATCTAGGTCAATGACAATGGACGAGGAGGCCAGTTCGCGGCTCCACACACGAGCTTTCTTGAAGACATGGTTCATTGCAACCTCTTCCTTCTCCCTCTTTATTGCGACACGCTCCTCCTCATGTGCCTGCAAGGTCTCTAGCGCAGATTCCTCTTTCGGCTTGTCACCAAACAGGGCTTGGCGAAGATGTTTTCGATCTCGGGCCTCCGGCTTGCTCATCCGCCTTTCCTCAAATCGTTTGTTCATGATGATGCTCACCCACTCCTGTTCCTTTCTCACCTCTTCCATGAAGTCCTCAGGCATTTCCTTTTGGCCTGCCTTGTACTCACCGTACACCTTTTTGCCATCGGCTGTCAAGAACCCATCGCTTGACAAAGCGACGCGGGGAACCTTGTCTTCATTGATGCCTGCTCGGCGGTAGTACAGATGAGTCTTCGAGTTCACCAGGAAGGCGGCGCGCTTCAAAATGGCGTCCATATGGGTGCGGGTAGCTTGGTCGATGAAGGCTTTTTTGATCATGTCGTAAAAGTCCGTGAAGTTGATTTCAAGGACATAGTCTGGTGGAAGCGGGATGGAGTCCTCATAGGTGTTGTCTGCCACAGCCCTGGGTTCGTTTTGAACCCACTTACTGGCCCCCCACCTAGCCCAGGCCATACTTTCATAGAGTCCGACATCTAGAAAAGCCTTGACAAGTTTCATGCTCAGAAGGTTCAGGGCGGTGTCGTCCAGGAAATCCCCCATAAGTACAGATCCTGGTTCGCCGCGAAGAAAATCTAATTCCGGGGTGCAGCGAATGCAAGGCTGCCCCTGGACCTGGAACCTCTCCAGGTTGTGGCGGCACTGTGCGAACAGGACACTTCTGCCCAATGGGCTTTTCCCTCCACCGGGCTCTCCGAGCATGACCAAGGAAGCTTGGTCAAAGTCCCAAATGGCTTCCAAAGCCTTTAAAACTTCCGCGCGGAAGTATTTTGGCGTGAGTGGTAATGGCCGATGCTCTTTGCGGGCTAAAGCTCCGTCAGCAGCCAAGTTCCGAAGAGCTTGACTAACCAACGCTACCGGCCAGCCAAAGATTGGAGACGATTTGTTGCGAAGTTCTTTCGTCTGCCAACGGAGCTGGGCCATTTCACAAGATGAGCGAGGGCCCATCTTGAGAATATGATCAAAGCCCGCATCGATGTCATCATCGTCCTTCTCCTCAAAGCTGCTGTCGGGCTTTGGGCCTTTGCGACTTGCCTGGGAAGTGAGCTCAAAGCACTTGAAGATACGCCCACCCAAGTTCTCCAGGCAGTACTGCAAGATTTTCCTGCCACCTTTGGGGGAAGGCTGCATCCACATAGATTGAAAGCCCTCACCGTAGATGAGCTGTTTGAAGAAGGTTGCCTTGACTTTTCCCGGAAAGGCCAAATGCTTCAAGATAGTGGTTTCACCCTCGGAGTTTTTGATGATGACGATTTGGATGGTCGTTTCCTTGGGGACTTCAACCTTCAGACCAAAAGGGGCGGGAAGATACTGCAAATCCTTGCGTTCGCATGCCAGTTTGTAGCTAGTGCTGAGGTCAGAAAAGTTGATGTCGCCCTGAAAGTTCTGGATGAGGTCAAAGGCATGGACCAGGTTTGTTTCCCCTCCGTTCAGTTCCTTCATAGGGAGGGTGAGGATGTTGAAGGAGCCGCATGGCTGGAGAGGGAGCGACATGGGAGCGATGCTCCTGCAAATGAGGCCATTGACAACCTCATGCAAATCATCATACGTCATATCTTCAGACTGCATGGCGGAGTTTACTACAGCAGACGAATGCTACCAATGGCGTTTCCTGAATCCTTGATGGATGACAAATGCTAACAGACAGATCCTTCCAGGCAATGTCAGACACATCAAAGAAAACGCATGAAAAAAGTTAAAAAATGCTCATTTTCATCGAAAAACGCGCCGCTCACAGCGCTCCCCTCTCTATTCTTTCTATTTAAATTTGCTTGTTTCCATCAATCAAATCGAAGAAACGCCCCCCAACGCTCTGTCATACCCAAGAGGTAGCTGTAGCTAGCTGGACCCATTCTCCACATGTACTCGGGTGTGAAAATCACATAAATTCACCACGGATCAGCTAGGACCCATGGGTGAGATGGGAAGGCACAATCGGCCGTATCCACGAACTGGATATGCTGGAGTGGATGGACCTTGACAAAGCCAGACCCTTTTGTAGGGCGGTGTTTTTCGTTCAGATCTGGAAGATCGATGGCATGGTTGTTACATGTTGTTACCTTACAACACCCACGACTCGCAAAATTCCAAGTACAGCAGAATCTGGTCAGTTTGTCTCGACAGGAGCTTTTCCATTCTTCCGCCCGCGGTTGGATTCTTTCTACAGTCGTGGACTGGCCGTGTGCTGAAATCCAAGCCCAGAACCACACCTGCTTGGTAACCTCAGTTGGTTGTCCAGGTGGTTCGAAACCTATTTGGAGAGAAACCTTTGATCAAATCTATCCAGGTCCGAAACCGATTTGATCCTACATCCTTAGGCGAACCAACTTTGATCCTCAGCGCGGCCCCACACCTCACCGGGAGATGGGCACTCCTCGTGAAGGCATCACGGAACGGCACCGGTGGCTTTCCAACCGGTTTTGGCTCTAGGTCCCTTCTTCCAGCGGGTCGAACTGAAAAAGTCTCCCTATTGAAGCCCTATTGAAACTTATAGACCCACGTGGGCCTTTCTTGCCGCACCAGGTGGAGGCCATTGCTTCCAAGCTCCATGGCCATAAGGCAGAAATGGAGGCCGCTGGTCACGACACGACACGACCGACCGCGCCGTTCCGTTTGAAGTTCTTCAATGTCAGTAGACCGTTTGGTTGTTGCTTTCTCGGGGGTGCGCTTTTGGACACCGGCACCGGTCACATAGGTGGTTGATGACGATTGCCAAAAGCAGCTTGCTTTCGACCAAAAATACACACAGGGTGTGACTCCCAAAACCTCCCTTTTTGGTTTAGTAGGTATACTCTTAGACCCTTAGCCCTTTGGTTCATAAGGGATGAACTACAAAACTCGTAAAGGTTAAGTCCTTAGCAGGAGATCTGCTCGGACAGGCAAGCTCCCCAAAGCTTCCAAAGCTCAGCAGGTTCGAGGACACGTCCGAAGCAAAATATAACAGCAACATCGACTATGAGAACAACCAAGTAGATCATTGATGCTTGGTACATCATGGAATTAAAATTCATGTTACATTTTACCCAAAAAGATAGGGGAAAAGCTGACAACTGGACTTGCAGGCTCAGATGACGATTCCTTGATTCCTGGAAGCGATTCCCCAAGAATTCATTCCACACGCATGCCGCATCTGCATAGCTAGGCAAAACGGCAGGAGGCATTGAAGGACTGCGGAGAGTTCCCTTTGTGCGCAGAAATGGGTTGGGAAATGGGAGCGAGTGAAAGGACTTCTCCAAAGCTTTGCTGATATCGTGTAGACTCTTGATGATATTTTGACCCTCCATATGAAGGTTTTTTTCATCCAAATGGGGGAAGGGATGGCTCGTGGGCGCGATGTGCCCGCAAGTCGGCGCATCCAAATGGGGGACGTCTTATTCATCAAGAGTCTCACGATGCTTTCTTTGCAACGATTCAGATAGCACTTGAAGAGGAGCTGACTCCGAGAAAACTCCACTAGAAGCCGTTCTTCCCGAACTCAATTGCTTGTCAATAGTTTGCAGTGGAGGATCGCAGGATCGTTTCCTTCAGCATGCCGACTCTTTCAACGTCATGTGCCCAGTTGAGTGAAACTCGGCCCACGGTTTGCAATACGGTTTCCTCCACAAACACCTATTTCGCCATGCCACATCACCCAGGGATGTGCTTGTGCTAAGCCGTTTGAAAAGGAACTTTGGTCCGGCAGGAACAAGGCAAGGCGAGAAAACCGAGTTCTAAGAAGGCGGAGCCGGTCTCCGGCCGTGCGAACCGCCACTCCATGCGGATGCCGATGTTGGATGCCGGCGACCTCCTCAGGGAGCTTGTGCTTGTGTGTACTCGTCTTGCTTGTGAAGACGCTGGAAAGCGTGGTCAAAGCTAAGGCAAGGTTTGTTGTCGAGTTTGGGCTTAGGCTCTGACACTTGCTTTGCGACTGAACTTTCTGACATGGCTGACTCGTCCATGTAGGAATGCATTTGGAGGGTCATGGAGGGTCACAAAGCTCACCTTCCTTTTGCAATGTTCTGTTCTTTGTCGGAGTCCGTTTTGAAGACACGGCAAACTTAGTAACTTGCTGCTTATTAGTCTTATTATGGTGTTTGCTCCCGCTTTTGGGGTGTTGCCCGATTCATGTGGTTTCTATGTTCAAGAGTCCTTCCATAGCATGCAGACAAGGGTTCTTTTATGTTCTTTCAATAGCATCGAAAAAAACTTGCACACGCAGAATATGTTTAGCCTCGGCTTTCCGAAGGGCGTTTAGTCAGAGAGGCCCGCTACATCAGGCGTTGAGTGTGAATCTATTGGTGCCATTTGGACAGACGGAGCCTTTTGACAGAGGCACGTCGTCTTGTCTTCCTTCTCAGGAGTACGAGAAGAGATTCGAGTCAATCCACAGCTTCGCCCCAGAGCTTTCCCCCAAGACCAGGCGGAGTGGTGTGGAGAGCAGCATGTGTGTGGTGTGGAGAGCTTGATAGGGGAAGAAATGAATGTAAACGCACACAAACCTATAAAGCATGTTGGTGTTTTTTGTTTGTGTTCCCGGCTTGGCCTTGTCGTGTTGTAAATCGTTGTTTTGTAAATGTTTGGATGTACCCAATGTGACAAAGTTGCATCTTGAATACTTATTTGGATGCCAAGTATGGCACCTTAAGATGTCAATTTCTTTCCCACACAATCCGGGGATTTGCTTTCAATATTCTGTTCATGGGACTGATACCAGGGGAAGAGGGAAGTCTGAGGCATGGTGAACATGGAAAACGATCACTGTGGATCTGCTTGGGGTTTACGATACACATCGAACATCATCGAACCGATTTGAATCCTCTGATGAGGATAGCTGGTGCAGGGATAGCTGGAAACTATCCATCCTGAGGAGGCTGCAAAACCTGTATCGTATCATTTTTCGCATCCAGGCAGTTGCCATGTTCTGCAGATAGCTTCTGCAGATGATACTCAATGCCATATAATATATGTATATATGAATGTATATTTGGGGCCCGGGGGTTGTTTTACTATTTGTAGCAGTCAGTAGACAATTACAACATTATTACTACTATTTTTGAACAAGGCCTGCAACCTAACCATCATCCACTGTTACTGGTATTAGGATTGACCCAATATGAAGTAACATAATGCATGTTCGAATGTATAAAAGATACACTAAGAGACCATCGCTACTAGGGTGGAGGCCATTGCTACTAGGGTGAAGGCCATTGCTACTAGGGTGGAGGCCATTGCTA